GTAGACATTTGATGTGGCTGCTGTATTGCCGTTGAGGATGCCTACATCCCATTTGGAGTTCCTGAGTCAAATCTTGGGCTCCACTTCCAACTCAGCTTTCTGTATGTGTACAGCCTGGGAGCAAAAGTATCCAAGTCCTTGCCACACATGTGAGAACCCAGATTGAGTTTTGGGCTCCTGATTTTGGCTATTTCTGGACATTTGGAGGACAAACAAACGGATGGAAAAATTTCTTTCTGCCTTTCCAGTAAGATTTATTTATTTCTATTGGAAAGTCAGATACACAGAGAAGAAGAGAGACAGAGATCTTCCATCCGATGATTCACTCCCCAAGTGGTCACAATGGCTGGAGCTAAGCCAGTCCCAAAGCCAGGAGCCAGGAGCTTCCTCTGGGTCTCCCATATGGCTGATGGGTCCCAATGCCTTGGCCATCCTTGACTGCCTTCCCAGGTCACAAGCTGGGAGCTGAATGGGAAGTGGAGCTGCTGGGATTAGAACCAGTGCCCATATGGGATTCCAGCAAGTGCAAGGTGAGGACTTTAGCCACCAGGCTATTGTGCCCGGCCCAGAAATACGTATTTTTGAAAATCACCAATGCCATTTACAGTTGCTTTCTTAAAAATGAAATATTTAGGAATAAATCCAACAAGACATGTACAAGATCTATGTGCTAACAATTACAAAAGTTGGTGAAACACAATGAGGATATTTAATTGAAAATTTAAGCAAATGGAAAGACACAGAGTGTCAATGATTTCAAAACCTTAGTATAGTAAAAATGTCAGTTTTTCCAAAATTGATCTAGATTTCTTGCAATTCCTATCAAATACTAGCAAGACTTTTTATAGGCTTAGATAAGCTTTTCTACAGTTTATATAGAAAGATGAAGGGACTAGACTAAATCAATTTTGACAAAGAATCATAAAGTAGGAGAATTACTGTACCAGATTTTAAGACTTACTCTGTAGCTACAGTAATCAAAACAATGTGATAAATATAGCTAATGGAACAGTGCTGTAGATGTAGTGTCCCTCTCTCTCTCTGTGCGTCTGCTGCCTTTCTTCTATTTCTTTCAAATAAATAGAAAATAATTACATTTAAAAATATAAAATCATAAATCTAAATGTAAAATATGCAAAAAGCTTTTAGAACTTAATGTAGGCAATTAAGACCACCCCTGCATCATATCTGAATGGATGTATAAGCTAAGGCTGTGGCAAGATATACTTAATCCAAGGAAAAGTTATGATTGTTCCATGACTTTAACAATTTTTGCTGAACATTTTAAAAACTATATTTTGGTTTACAAATGTGTACAGAGATGAGAAATAGCAGCACTAATTTAGTTAGTACACAGATTTAAAACATTTAACACATTGTGAATTATAATTTTATATTTTTGTGTAAAACTTACCAAGGAATAGTTTGAACAGTGCTAGTTTCTCATTGTAAGATTTATGGATTCATGGGCCTGGTGGCGTGGCCTAGCGGCTAAAGTCCTCACCTTGAACGCGCGCCGGGATCCCATATGGGTGCCGGTTCTGGCAGCTCCACTTCCCATCCAGCTCCGTGCTTGTGGCCTGGGAAAGCAGTTGAGGATGGCCCAAAGCTTTGGGACCCTGCACCCACGTGGAACATCTGGAGGAAGAGGCTCCTGGATCCTGGCTTTAGATCGGCATAGCATTGGCCATTGCGCTCTCTTGGGAAGTGAATCATCAGATGGAAGATCTTCGTCTCTGTCTTTCCTCCTCTCAGTATATCTGACTTTCCAACAAATAAATAAATCTTTTAAGAAAAAAGAGAGAATGTATTTATTAATTGAAAGACACAATAACCCAGAGAGAGATCTTCTGTTAACGCTCTAAAATGGCTATAACAGATGGGTTTGGGCCAGGCTAAAACCAGAAACCCAGAATCCCATATTGATTTTGCACTGAAGTGTCAGCAACCCGAATACTTGCACCATCTTTCACTCTCTTCCCAAGCAATTAGCTAGGGAGATGTATCAGAAATGGAGCAGCTGGTAGTTGTCAAATGGAAGCACTCCCTGTATTTATCTCTATTTTTCAAATAAATAGGTAATTAAAGACTTAGAAAGGAAATTTGGCAATAGGGCTGCTGCAGTGGCACTAGAGGCTAATCCTCTGCCTGCAACACCAGCATCCCATTCGAGTGCCAGTTTGTGTCTTGGCTGCTCCACTTCCAATCCAAATCCCTGCATATGGCCTGTATGGCTTGTGAAAGCAGCATAGCATGGCCTAAGTCTTTGGGCCCTGGACCCACGAGGAAGACAGGAAAGATGCTCCTGACTTCTGGTTAGCTCAGCTGTAGCCTTTGCAGGCATTTGGGAAGTAAACTAGCTGATGGTTCTCCCTGCCTCCCTGTTTCTCTTTGTAAATCTTTCTTTAAAATAAAATAAAAAATGAATCTTTTAAAAAATTGGCAATAAAAATCAATTTATTTAGAAAGTGGACAAAGTGCACATATACTCACCCAAGAAGATACATGGGTAATATGAAAAGATGGTTAGTATCATTAGCCACTATAACAATGCTTATTAAATCAACAATGCTATATCACTATCTGTATCAATGCCTAAAATTTTAAAATGGTGACAATATTAAATACAGGCAAGGATATATAGAGAGAAAAAAACTGAATCATTCATACATTGTTGACGTGAATATAAAATGGTACAGCCACTCTGGGAAATAGTTCAAAAGTTTATTACAAAATAAAACATGCTTGTCATATAATTGAGGCAATGCACTCTTGGGCATTTATCCCAGGGTAGTAAGAACTTATGGGTAAATATGGGTGCAACTGTTAGTAGTAATTTTATTTTAATTTATTTAATTTATTTTAATTTTTTATTTTAATTTTATGTTATTCGTAATGGCCAAAACTGAGAGACAGCTCATATGTTCTTCGACAGTGGTAAAATATACTTTGTATATCTGTATCATAGACTACTACTATGCCAGGAAATGAGATGAATTGCTGATATTTATGGTTATGTAAATAAATCTCAAAGCATCATGTTTTTTGCAGAATTCAAATCTTCAAAGGTTATATATTTGTGATTCTGTTTGTATTATTCTCCATGTGTCAGAATTGTAGGCAAGGAAAACAAATTAGTAGTTGCCATTGCATAGGTATGGGAGGGGATAGAATTGGAAGATGAGTGTTTGCAGTTGGTGGAATATTTCGTTATTTTTTTTAAAGATTTATTTGTTTTTATTGGAAAGGCAGATTTTGCAGAGAGAAGGAGAGACAGATTTTTCCATCTGCTGGTTCACTCCCCAAATAGCTGCAACAACTGGGGCCGGACCAGGCTGAAGCCAGAAACCAGGAGCTTCTTCCATGTCAGCCACATGGTGCAGCGTCCCAAGGCTTTGGGCCATCTTGCTGCTTTCCCAGGCCACAAGCAGGGAGCTGGAAGGGAAGTAGAGCAGCCAGGACATGAACTGGTGTCCATAAGGAACCTGGTACATACATGGCAAGAATTTAGTCTCTAAACTATATCACCAGGTCTAGTTGGTGGAACATTTCTACTCTTGATCATCCTGGTAGCTACCCAAGTGTGTATCCTGGAAAAAATTATATTTCTACATACATACAAATAAATACATGTAAGAGATGATGGAATCTGAATAAAAGTTTACAATCAGTTAATGTATTGTGTCTATATTCTTCTCTTAGTTTTGATATTATCTTATGTTTGTGAGGTGTTGCTATTAAAGAAAGCCAAATGAAGCGTGTATTGTACTTGGTACTACTCTTTTGTAATTTTAAATAAGTGTGTAGCTCTTTCAAAATCAGAAACATTCTGAAGGCTTTCTTGAGGGACAGACACATATGATGTTGTGAGGTAGAAGTTACTATTTTCTGATGTGCCCCCTTGCCTGCCATCCCTTCACTCTAGAAAGGGTTCAGCCCTCCAGGCCTCCTTCCAGATCCTCTAGTTGGGTGCTGAGGAAGGAGTTGCCGCGGGAGCCTGGAGAATCAGAATGTGGCTCCCTGCAGATGTGATTGCTTTGCCAGGAGATTGGTCTTTTCAGAGAGGCTGATTCATTGCTGTGGTTGGTGTTTCTATGGAGTGCTTGTAACTGGGGAGAGAAAATCCACAGGTAATGGATGAGCAATTTGGAGCTGACAGCTGCTCATCATCCTGCTTTTTATAAATATCTGTGCCTTTTAATTTTTCTTGGAAGATAGATGCATCAACCACAGTGACCTTCAAACTCATTCCATAAACGCTATCCACTAAAATTGGGACAAAAACAGGGAAGACCACATGTATAAAATATCCAATTAAAGTCTTTTATTCTCTTCCAATATAACTTTATCTAAAAAAATCTTTATATATGTGTGGGGTGGGCAGGGAATGAGAGAAAATTGTTTGAGATTTGAGTATAGTACATACAGTAATTTAGCCATTTCAAATCGTTGAACAAATTGTACACCTGTGGTTGGATTGACAGTAATGACAGTGATTTAATTTGCATCAGCAAATTACTCCTGTTCTGACAGCTTCTACTCAGAATTTCTGATGTCTGGATTTCCCTAAAATGTTGCTGCAGTGGGCAGGGCAAAGCCAAGACAGTCTATAATTGTGGAAGGTAGAGAACCAGGGTGTGGAGTATTTTACCTGTGAGTTCATCCATCACATATGAAGCTAGAGGTTGAAAGTGAGCTTGCTTGATTTTCTCCAACCTACAAAACTTTCTGTTCTTGTTAAATGGTTGAAGATGGGCTTGAATAAGTGAACCTTTTATGTCCTTGTGATTTTGGAGCAGAGGCCAGTCCTAGGTAAGCCCTGAGGATTTTCTTCTCTGGGCTACTTAGAAAATAATCGGATTTTTTATAATGGAGATAAGAATCTATTTTGAATCTTAGAGCAGCAGTTTTTTGAGGATGGGCACCTTTAGTAGACTGAGCCATCATGGGTGAGTGACTCGAGCTGTTTGGATTAATCTTCTGTTTGTTGCTCTCCTCAGGCAAGGCAGGCTGAGGTGAAGAGGCTGTTCCGCCCCATTGAGGAGCTGAAGAAGGAGTTCAGTGAGTTGAATGTTGTCATTGAGACTGATATGCAGATCATGGTACGACTGATCAACAAGTTCAATAGTTCCAGCTCCAGCCTGGAAGAGAAGATCGCTGCACTCTTTGATCTCGAGTATTATGTCCATCAGGTACTGTATTTCATTGTCCTTGAGTCTAACTTTTAACAACTCCAAAAATAAATGCCTATGCTAAATCTTAAGAAAATGACATCGGCATGTTTTACTTCTCTCCCAGAGCATAGAGAATTTTTTTTTAAGATTTATTTTTATTATTTTTTTATTGGAAAGGCAGATATACAGAGAGGAGAGACAGAGAGGAAGATCTTCCGTCCGATGACTCACTTCCCAAGTGAGTGCAACGGCCGATACCATGCTGGTCCGAAGCCAGGAGCCTCTTCAGGGTCTCCCACCTGGGTGCAGGGTCCCAAAGCTTTGGGCCGTCCTTGACTGCTTTCCCGGGCCACAGGCAGGGAGCTGGAAGGGAAGCGGGGCTGCCGGGATAAAACCGGCTCCCATATGGGATCCCGGGCGTGCAAGGCGAGGACCTTAACCACTGTGCCACCGCGCCGGGCCCAAGCATAGAGAATTTTAAATGTAGGTCCACATAGTAAGTCATAGTAAGATAAACACCGAGAACCTTGAGCCAACCCCCTTTTTGCCTGGAGTGCTACCTCTTCAGTCTTGTTTCAACATTAAAGGTACAGCAGAAGTAAAATAGACACAGACCCTGCCCGTAGAGCTACCAGTCTGAAAGATGAAGCCATTAAATAAACTAAGAAGTCATGAGATATTTAAGGTTTTGTTAAGATATTCAGAATGATATAGGAGTATATAACAGGAATTTAGAGCCTAGTCAGAGACAGTAAGGGGGTTTCTCAAATGTGCTATTCAACCTGGGCATTAAAGCACAATTAGGGGCTATATAAATAAAGAGGGGAACCAAAAGAGGGGATGGCGAGCAATGGCTTAGTAGCCAATTCTGGTCCAGTGCCTGTTTTTCTAAAGTTTTATTGGGACACAGCCACTCCTACTCATTTATGTGTAGTTTGTGCTGTTTTTATGCTACGGTAGCTGAGTTGCGTATTTGTGACAAAGAACTTATGGCCCAAGAAGTAAAAAAAAACAAGCAAAAATGTTACTACGAGGTAGGTACTTTAGAACAGGTTTGTCAATCCCTGGATTAGAACATCCACACTGAGTAAAAATCATGCGGGCAGAGAAGAGCTTGGTGAGGTTGAGGTCCTGGGAAAGATTGGAATAACTAAAACACAGCAGCTGGGGGAGGGACATTATAGATGGTATGGGAAGTTGTAGGGGTTTCAGAGATAGCCTTGGGAATACCATGGTGTATGTGATTTTAGCTTTGATCGTAAGAATTGTCAACAAATTAAAGCAGGGAAACAGCCAATTAGATAGTTATAAATAAATAGTGTTTACTGAGTGGTATGTACTTGGCACTGCTCTTGCTTAATATTCACTTACTTCTTATACTGCTACTGTGAGTAGTAACCATTATTACTCTCATTTTTGTTTTTTGAAGACTTTTCTATTTATTTGAAATGTATAGGAAAAGAGAGAGAGAGAAAGAGAAACCATAGGATCTTCCATTAACTGATTTACTCCCCAAATCACACAACATCCAGGTCAAGGCCAGGCTGGAGCCAGGAACCAGAAACTCATTCTGGATCTTCTACATGTATGACAAGGCCCCACACACTAGACATTATGTACTTCTTTCCTAGACACATTAACAGGAAACTCAATCAGAAGCAGAGTCCAGAACTCCAACCAGTGCCCTGAAATGGGATGTTGTCATCGCAAGTGACAGTGTTTAACTTGCAGTGCCTGAAAGCAAGCTCCTATTTTTATTATTTTTTAAGAATTGTTTTGTTTGTTTATGTGAACGAAAAAAATAACAGAGAGGGAAACAAACATGGAAGAGATCTGATATTTCTTTTTATTATTATTAATATCATTTTATGATACAGTTCCATAGGCTCCAGGTATTTCCCTTATCCCTGCCCCAATTTCCCCCCCCCACACACATAATTCCTCCATATCATTACTATAGTTCTTCATACACAGTCATATGTCTGTCACTGCAGGCATGGACAATGGCAGAGAGTCCAGCATCCTAGTGTCAAGATATAGTAAACAGTTTCATTTAAGTCCATCTTTATCTGGAAGTGGAGATGCATACTACATTGTAACTCACGGCTGGATATGTTAGTCTCCATTTCACAGCTACTGTACATCCACTCAAATGAAAAATCATAATACAAAATTAACTATAGAAAGAAAAATAGAAATTTACAATGCCATGATGTTAAATAATATGGTACTAGATATGACAGCCTCCATTATACAGCTACTATACATCCGCTTAAATGAAAAGCCACAATACAAAATCAACATCAGGATGAAAAAAGAAATTAACAACACCATGAAGTTAAATAATATGCTACTGCATGACTAACATGTAGCTGAAGAAATGAAAATCAAGAACCTTCTTGCAGAAATGATGCTACTGTATGATCTATGAGTTAGTGAAGAATTTCATGAGAAAAAAGTGCTTTGAAGAGATGAAACTAACAGAAAACATCAAAACCCATGTGATAATTTCTGCTGATTTTTGTTGGTGAAATGTGTCTCTTCTAGACAACAAATAGATGGATTTTATTTTTTAATCCAGTCGACTGATTTGTGATGTTTGATTGAGTTTAAGCCACGTACGTTCAGGGTTAATATGTGTATGGGTAGTACTTTGGTTCTGTCATTTTAGCGATGGGTTGTTCATTGGTTTAGTCTTCTGTTGTCATTTTACTGGGATGTGCTTCACATTTGCCTTTGGTTTTGTTTGGTACTATTCCTCTTCTCTGTCAAGAGAACATCTTGAAGTATCATTTGTAGGGCAGGTTTGGTAGAGGCAAATTCTTTTAACTTTTCTTTATTGTGAAAGAATTTTATTTCATTTTCAAGGACAAAGGAAAGCTTTGCTAGGTACATTATCCTCAGCTGATAATTTTTTTCCTTTAGAACCTGAAATATGTCACTCCATTCTCTTCTGGCCTGTAGGGTGTCCTGTGAGAGATCTCCTGTGAGTTTATTTGGCATTCCATTATATGTCACTTGATTTTTTTCACATTCACATTTCAGGATCTTTTCCTTATGTTCAATTGAAGAGAGTTTGATCATCATGTGTCTTGGTGAAGATCACTTATGGTCAGGCCTGTTGGAAATTGTGTGCCCTTCCTGGATGTTGTTTCCCAATTCTTTCTCTAGATTAGGGAAATTTTCCCTTATAATTTCATTGAATACATTTGTAAACCCTGCTTCTCTTTCTGCACCTTCTGCAACTCCCATAACTCTTATATTAGGCCTCTTAATAGTGTCTTTCCATTCTTGAATTTTTTTGGGCCTGATCCAGTTCTGCTTCCAGCTTTTTGGTTGTTTTCCCTTGATGACAGGAAATATCTTCCAATTCTGGGATTCTTTCTTCTGCTTGCTTCATTCTATTTTGGAGACTGTCCACTGTGCTTTTACTTTGCTCCACTGTGTTCTTAATTTCTGATGTATCAGCCTTGATTTTCTTTATTGCTCCTATTGCTTGTGTAAAATATTCCTTAAATTCTTTGAACTCTTGTATGTGCTTCTCATTGTTGATCAGAAGCTTTAAAATGAGCTTTCTGAATTGTGTGTCCCCCGTATTCTCGATGTCTTCTTCAGTAAACTCAGACGTTGGCATAGGGCTTTGCTCCTTTACAAGAGAGTTTTCAGTAATACTCATTGTGCCTTTGTCTCTTCTTTTGCTCTTGGTCATTTACTTCTGGTTAGCTGAGTCTTCTCCTTGGGGCAGGTTTCTAAACATTGTCACCCACATGTCTACAGTTCTATTTTACTTATTGTTGTTGGCACAAGGCTCTTTGCTTGCAGTCACTTGTGCCATTCCCTCCAGCGTGTTCCAGGACTGGGTTCTTATTGTTAGATTTCCACAAAGAACTCCATAGCCCCAGCTCCTGACTCACCACTCTACCTCCTGTGATACCGTGCTGAGGCTGCACCGTTGTCTCTACAACCTTTCTCCCACTTTCGGTTGGAGCAGATCTCCGGATTAGGGAGACATCAAGTGTCCTATATAGCTAGGTTGTTGGTGATGCTGATCTTGCTGGAACCTGTTGGACATTAGGTCTGGGTGCCACACGTACCTATTTTCACCTGTACAGTGCCACAGTCCGTATTATTTTCCTATGGGACCAGTGCATTTCAAGAACTTAGTGAGCTCTCACCCAGCTCAGCACATGCACAGTTCCCTATTGTCCACTGCAGTCCTTAAGCTTTGGCCACACAGTGTACATAATGGCACCTGTCGTACCACTACTAGAGTTCTTGATCTGCTGGCTGTCAAATTTGAGGGCTGCCTGGACCTGTCTTGGGTGGAACCTGTAGAATGCCATGTTGATGCAGTTCCCTGAGTCAGAAATAAGTTCACTCCCAGCTCAGTTTATGCTCAGTCCTTTCCCTTGCTCTTTCCTCCTTAAGCCAAATGGTACCCAATAAGGCTCTAGGGGGCTGACTGGGCTGTGAAATCCACCCTGTTCTCGCACTGCCCATCTGAGATCTGCTGCTCTGTCTCTGCTTGTGGTCAAGTCAAACAGACCAGCAGGATGGACAGTTCTTTGTCTGGGCTCACCACCTGAGCTCCTGGTAGACGTCCCTTCCCACCTGGTTGCTGGTGTAGCTCTGGCTGCTGGTGGAGTTCAGATTCAGCTGCTTGCTGAATGCTGCTGGTTTATCAGTCACTGCAACACCATACCACGCTCTTGTGTCTGCTGCTTTCGTGTGTCTGTCAGTCTCCAGGTACTCCTTTGCTGTTGTTCTTTCCTCTCCTATTTCCTGGAATGTGTCCTCTCTGCTTCATCCTGATGAAATGTTTCTCTGTCCGTTTAAACATGTCCTTACTCTATTCCACCATCTTGATTCTCCCGAGATCTGATATTTCATCTGTTCACTTCCTAAATGTCTGAGATAGTCAAGGCTGGACCAGGCTGTGTTTTCCACATGAGTGGCAAGGATCCAGATACTTGAGCAATTATCCACTGCCTTCTCAGGCAGTTCAGCAGGAAATTGAA